GGGGCGGGAGGTCCGGGTGTGCTGCAGCGGGAGGGGTTGGATCATTTTATTTTATTGTATTTCATTGGGTTTGGGTCTGGGTTTTTGGTTGGGTTGTTTTTTTTTGTTTGTTTTTTTTTTGTTTTTTTACTTTTTTCCCTTTATCTTTTTTTTCTTTTTTCTTTTTTTTCTTCTCCATCTTTTCTTCTTTTTCCCTTTTTTTCTTCCTTTCTTCCTTTTATTCCTTTTCTCTTCGTTTTCTTTTTCTTTTTTCTTCTTTCTTTCCTTTCCCTTCTCTTTCTCCCTTTTTTCTTTTATCTTTTCTCCCTTTCTCCTTTACCTTTTTTTTTTTCATTTTTCTTCCATTCTTTTTCTCCCTTCCTTTTTTCCTTATTTTATCTCTCGTTTTCATATTCTTCATTTCTTCCTTTTTTCTTTTTCTCGTTTTTTTTCTTTCTTTTTTCTCTTCTTTTTTTTTCCTTTTTCTTCTTTTATTCTTTCTTTTCTCTTTCCTTCCTTTTTTTTCCTCTTATTTTCTTCCTTTTTTCCCCCCTTTTTTCTCCCCCACAACCTTTCCTCACCCACCCCCTCCCCTCCCGCACCATTCCTTCCCCGTATTCCCTCTCAACCCCGCCACTCATGCGGCCGCTGCACCACCGCGGACACCACCGCAGCCCCCGACCGCGCAGAGCCTGGATCGCTCCGCAGCACCGCCGGGGCTGAGCGGGCAGAGGGCGGCCGGGCCCCCCCGCCCGGGCCGGGGCTTACCTGGGGCCGCGGCAATGCGCTCCTCGCATTCACCCACACTCCCTCATTTCCTACTTTTTCATATGCTAACGTTCTCAATGATTAAGTCGTTAACACTTCTGGGGAAAAACAAAATAAAGAAGAAGGGGAGGGAGGAGGGGGGAAATGAAAGAACAAAAAAAAAAGAAGAGGAGGGAAAAAAAGAAAAAAAAATCGGAAAAGAAAAGATAGGGGGAAAAAAAAAGATGAAAAAAGGAGGAAAAAAATACGAAGAAAAAAATAAAAAAATAAGGAGAAAGAAAAAAATCAGGCTAAAGGCTTCTTTATTTATCATTCCCTTCTGTTATTTTACGTCTTTTTTATTTCTCCCTGCAACTAATCTCACAGATTAATCAATGGCCACCTCCGAAGCTCCGCTCCCCGCCGCCGCTGTTGGAAAAGCCCGACCGGCCGCGGGAGCGCGCAGAGAAGCGCCGTGGGAGCGCGGCCCCGCGGCTGCAGGCGCCGCCAGCGCCGCTCCGGGCGCGGCGGCCCCGACGGGGCGGACGGGAGGAACGGAGCGGAGCGGCCGCGGCTCTTTGTCGACGGCGCGGCGGCACTCGGAGTTTTGCGTGACTTCACGGCGGGGAGCCCGACGTCACGCGGCCACGTGACGCCGCCTCCGAGTATATCTTTAACGGGAAAGTAATCTATCAGGCAGTCCGGCCCGCCGCGCCGCGCCGCCGAAGTGCCGAGCGAGGCCCCGCGCCGCCCCGCGGCCTCTGCCCCCC